TCTCTCTTCTCTCTCTCCTCTCTTCCTCTTCCTCATCCTTTCCCTCTTCTCTCTCTCTCCTCTTCCTCTTCCTCATCCTTTCCCTCTTCTCTCTCTCTCCTCTCTTCCTCTTCCTCATCCTTTTCCTCTTCTCTCTCTCTCCTCTCTTCCTCTTCCTCATCCTTTCCCTTTCCCTCCTCTTCTCTGCTTCCTCCTCCTTTGCCTCCACCTGCTCCTCCTATTTCTTCTCCCCCAGCCTCTCCCGACTCGGCTCTCCAGGACTGAGGCCTGAATCCAGAGGCTTGGGCACATCAGGAAAGTGCTCCACATCCAACCCTCACCCCCAACTCCTCACTGACAGATTCTGGGCAAGCCGCACCCCAGTTTACCCACGGATTCTAGGTACCTGCCCTCCTGCTAAGCCACTGCACAGCTCTCTTTCCGCTCTTCTCTTTTGAAAGAAGCCTCCCCAAATTGCTTAGGCCAGTCGTGAGCCTGAGATCCTCCTGCCTCAGCCACCCAAGTAGATGGTTAGAGGACCACCGTCTGGCCAGCTTACTGGTTTTTCTCAGGAGTGTCTCCAGCTCTGCTCACTGCCCGGTCCTCATATGGGAGCAAAGTGGGGTTCAGCAGGGTCTACCCTGTCTGCATCAGTAGGAAACTGTACCGGCTCCTCCCCCATGCTTTGGGTCCAACTCACGGCAGAAGTCGGGTTCCCTCCAGGACTTCACGGCATGGCCGGCATCCTGGCAGATGGCCGTCATGGCGGACATATGAGCACAGAGCTTCTGCTGGAGCCCCTGGAAGCTACACATGTCAGTAACGCAGTTATCCAAAAAGGGCGAGGCCTTCAGGTGGAGGAGGCATGACCTGGGGGCAGACTCAGGATCAGGGCGGGAGTGGGCAGAGCCTCTGCGCCCACCTCAGACAAACCCCTGTTGCCTAGTGACCCCTCGCAGCCCCTCCGCCTTCCTCCATACTCAAAGGGTCCTACTGGGTCGACGAGCTGGCCACATAAGTTGTGTCCCGACATGGTGCTCCCCAAGGCTGGCTCACAAGAGGGGGGACTCATCTTCCGACACCTGGAAGAGACCCAGCTGGAGTGGTCAGAAGGCCGGAAGAGCCCAGGAGAGGGGGGGCACCCAGAGCGTGCAGCAGGCAAATCAGAAACGGCACTGCCTGTCAGACTGTCCGGTTCTTTTTGAGACACTCTCACTATCTTTTCCTAGTTGGCTCTGAACCTCCTGTACTCCTGGAAACCTAAAGATTACGGGAAAACTACCAAGCTTCCCCCACCCCGTTTCTTTTGTTTCATTTTTTACATTGCTGGGGATCAAACAGTATCTGGTGCATGCTAGAAAAGTGCTCCACTAAAGAGCCACACCCCAGCCCCTCACTGGGGGATTCTAAGCAGGGGCTCTACCACTGAGCCACACCCCAGCCCCTCACTGGGGGATTCTAGGCAGGGGCTCTACCACTGAGCCACACCCCAGCCCCTCACTGGGGGATTCTAGGCAGGGGCTCTACCACTGAGCCACACCCCAGCCCCTCACTGGGGGATTCTAGGCAGGGGCTCCACCACTGAGCCACACCCCAGCCCCTCACTGGGGGACTCTAGGCAGGTGACCACTGAGCCACACCCCAGCCCCTCACTGGGGTACTCTAGGCAGGTGCTCTACTACTGAGCCACACCCCAGCCCCAGCTGAATGTCTGCAGCTGCAGACATTCCTCCCTCTTCCTGGATTGACAGACAGGAACAACTGGACCCAGTTCTGGTAGGTCTTAACAGTCCACAAACACCGAGGGCTGAGGAAAGGACAGCCCCCGGGATCCACACTCACTCCCTGCTCTCCTCTTCCATCTGCCAGCTCTTGCCCAGGTCCTCCTCGTCGTACGCCATCTTCCCGTCCGGCTGCAGGTAGTCATTGCTGCCGTCTCCATCATAATTCCCACAGACACCACAGAGCTTCCTGGAGTAGGCACTAGGGGTCCGGGAGAGGAGTAAGCCATGACTGAGGAAAAGGGTCTCAGTGGTCAGAGCCCACAGCAAGGGGACAGTGAGCTGTGTGCCCTGAGGCAGGGGCGTGAGGACACCCACAGGCTCCCAGTTCCCAAGACCACCACTCAGGCCTCAGCCAGAGCGTCTCCGGAGGAGTGCCTCTGTTCTGTCTGCTCAACATCCTTCTAGCCCCTACCTGCTCGTGGGTTTAAACATGTACGCTATCCTCCCTCCCCACCGGTGTGTGCGCGTGTACTCACGTGTGTGTGTGTGTACACGTGGGGCCAGAGGTCAAAGTGGATCTTCCTAAGGTGCTCTCCACCACTTTTTTTTTATTACTACTTTTCATTTGTTTTGGTTGGTTGGTTGGTTTTGGCTTATTGAGACAGGGTTCCTCTGTGTAGCCCCGGCTGTCCTGGACTCACTGTAGACCAGGCTGGCCTTGAACTCACAGACCTGCCTGCCTCTGGGACTGACGGTGTAAGCCACAGTCCAGCGTGCGGGTGCTGCGCCTGTGTGTCTGTCTGTTCGCCATGTGCATGCAGTGTCCAGAGATGTCAGAGGAGGGCGCTGTGTCCCTGGGGACTAGAGCTTCAGACAGTTAGGAGCTGCAGTGTGGGTGCTAAGAATTGACCCTGGGTCCTCCGGAGGAGCCAGTGCTCTCCACTGCCGAGCCGCCTCTCCAGCCTGGTGAGCGAGTGCTTTCAACAGCCTCATGTGCACTCAGAGGCCAGATGCCCTGCTCGCTTTCTACTCCAGAGAGGCTGGTCCTAGGCTGGCAGCCAGCGAGGTGTAGGGACCCTCCCTTCCTGCCAGTCACAGTCCGCGGCTGCAGGCGCCCGGCTTTCCGGACCCCAGCGCAGGTCCTGGTGGTCTGCAGGGGCACTGTGCCAACTGACCCTCAGCCCACCCCCACCTTCATTTTTGAGAAAGGTTCTCTCATAGGCTCTGGAGGTCACCCGTCCAGTTAGAGCGAATGGCTAGAGAGCCCCAGGAGTCCTCCTACGGCTGCGCCCCAGCTTGCCGCTGCGCCCTGCTCTTTTTCTATTTTCACGGGCTCTTTGCGGATGGGCCACCTCACGAGTCCCCACATCACCTTCCCCACAAAGCCTGGCATCAGGGCCGCTCCTCCGTGAAGAACCTGGAGACAGGCTCTGCTGAGCCACTGTGCACACTCCCTGCTGTCCCCGGCTGCCCTGACCCTCCTCCCGCGCGGAAGGACTTCTGTAAGCGACTGACCCCCAGTGTCAGGAATGGGAGGGGTCGTTCTGGGAGACACGTCAGGCACCCGGCCAGGCTGCCAGCTTACCTAGACACAATCACAAACAGCTGCTGGTCGCCATCCCATCTCACGTGCAAACCAAACGTCGTCCTCAGCTCCACAAAGCGACCACTCAGACCCACGAAGATGCCGTTCGTAGGTATCACTGGGAGGGTGACTTCCTGCTCTCCAATCTGACAGAGGGGCGAGGAGGGCTCTAAGGCTCTAACACCACGTCCAGGGCTAGAAAGCACCACCCCTCCGCACCACCTCTTCGCCTCCCCTCACCCAGGCGGCTCTGAAGCATCACCGTCAGGACCTTGTTCAAGCCCATCCTGACAGGATTTCCTTTGTTCAAGCCTGTCCCTGACAGGGCTTCTGGGATGGCCTGGCCTGGCTGGGTGAGTGAAGCGCAGGACTCACCAGTGTGTGTCTGCCCCTGATCATGGTGATGGTGGTCTCTGGCACGGTGATGAAGACTTTGTCCAGGCAGGCTATGCCTTCTACTCCCCGTTCTTGCATGCTTGCTGTTATCCTAAAGAACGGGTCTACATGGAGAAAGGGAGAGCACTGAGAAACTAAGACACACACATTTGTTTATTTGTTTGTTTGGCTGGCTGGCCGAATGGCTGGTCGGTTGGTTGGTTGGCTGGCTGGCTGGCTGGCTGGCTGGTAGTCTGGCTGGTTGGTTGGTTGGTTGGTTGATTGGTTGGTTGGTTGGCTGGCTGGCTGGTTGGTTGGTTGGCTAACTGGCTGGTTGGTTGGTCGACTGGCTGGTTGGTTGGCTGGTTGGTTGATTGGTTGGTTGGTTGGTTGGCTGGCTGGCTGGTTGGTTGGCTAACTGGCTGGTTGGTTGATTGGTTGGTTGGTTGGCTGGTTGG